GGGAATCGGCCTTCCTCTTACCCGAACTAGAGCCGGGCAGAGCGGAGGAGATGGGCTGAGCGTACTGAGCAACGGTCTGAGAAGGATGGGAGGCATGGTAATAAGAAGGGACTGGAGCTATCGGAATGAGACAGCTCTCTACCTCCTGAGCCCGACTCACGGTATCTGCATATGACATCGGTCCGTGACTCCCCACTAGTTCACGGATCCTCTGGTTGAGCCCCTTGAGAAACTTGCGGGCCTTCTTGGCATCGGTGTTTACTGCGTCGCCCGCAAAAAGGCACATGCGGGTGTAGGTGCGGATATACTCATCTACTGTGGAGCTGCCCTGCTGCAAGTGGTAAAACTCATGCTCCATCCTATCCCAAAAGCTCTGGGGAAGGAACTTGTTGCATACCATCGTCTTCATCTGCTCCCAAGTGAGAGCATGAAGCTCCGCCTCTGGCCTCCGGGCCCAGTGGTAAATCCACCAGTCAGAGGCGTCCTCCTTCATCTGATATGCTGCGAGAGACACACGCTGACGGTCTGGGAGAGGGAGCACAGCAAAAATCTTATCCAGCTCTTTTATCCACTCCAGCACCGCTGTGGGGTTCTCAGTCCCCGCGAAAGTCGGTGCATTCATCCTCTGAAACTGGACTATGAGCTGAGTAAGGTCCATGGCCGGAGGGGCCTGATGAGGACGACGAGGAGGAGAAGGAGATGGGGATGGCTGACGGTTACGGTTGTTGCGGGTATTCATAGCTCTACACTGAATAGGCCGAACAAAATTAGCACAATCATATAGGAAGTCTAGAGTTCAACACTAGAGTTCGCATTTAAAGGTGGAATAGCCCTAACCCCGATTTCATTTCAATAATCAATAATCAACCAATATACAATAATCTCAAAGTCATTCAAGTACTCATACCTGAGCTGGCGCGGCACGACGAGAGCGAGTGGTCTTAACATGAATTCGAAACACATAATCACATAATCAACTTTTTATACTCAAACCAGTCTACAGAAACGCAGACTGGCTCTGATACCAAACTGTAACGCCCCACTTTTATTTGCCAAAATTCAGGATAAATTTTTCGAAATTTATTTTCAAATACAACATTTGAGGCGCTACTTATTCACAAATCAATATTCAATACTTATCAATCATCAATACTCATTCATCAATAATCAATAACCCCAATAATCAATAATAGAGAAATCAATAATAGCAATATACAGTTCAAGGCGGAAGCAATTAAAATAATATAACGACCACCACTCGCCTCCCTCCGTCGTGCCCGCAATACTATCCTGCATCCATGAAGAGCAGGTGGGGATGAGCACAAGAGGAAAAGTAGTGCTCACCACTATGCAATAAATGCTAATCTCAATAATCAACAATGTTCAATAATCAAAATGTATGGTCTCAGCATGTATACGAAACAATAAACTATCCCATTCTCCCATTAATAATACAATAATCGGACTCATGTGCACACCTACGCATAGACTACTGCTGATACTCGATTCGAACGCCAAGACCTACGAATTGGTCTTACAACGATGCCCAGCCAGTAGGAGTAAACCACCCCGTCGGCCAAAACCTACGAATTGGTCTTACAATCGGGGATCACCGGCCAGAACCTACGCCCTGGTCTTACGGCTCTCAAGGGAGACTACCCAACGGGTACGTTCTATAGCTACGGGGATAACCGTTCGGTGGTCGATACAGCTCACACCGAAGGCTACATGATTCACATGCATACTTTGATCATACCATAATTAAAACAATAATAACATTTAAGACATAGAAATTTTTACAATTACAACCCACCTGGTATCGGTTGATAAAGCAATTAGTCAGAAGGTCGTAGGTGGTCGAGACACTGCTCTTCAGACACCTACATAAGTCAAGACAGTCCCATAAGCAACTATCTCGACTCTTGCACAGATAACGAGAATTATGCTTAGTCGGATAACATCGACTAAGGAACTCGTGGAAGTTGTGGAGTTGGAATATTAGGACGACTCCTAGACTCGACCAATTAATTACCAAATCAATTAATAGATCACATAAAAGAAGGCAATAAATGTTCGACACAAAATGGGTCAAAACGGTTAAAAAACGAGTTCGAATTTTATAAGAATAGGGCTAAGGGGAGTTGGACTTGGTTATTTCAATTCAAATTTTTACTGAGTGTTAAGGGCTGAAAAATACATATTTTCACCAAAGGAAAACCATTTAACATGCTCCTAACTATTTTAAATATTTTACTCAAAATCTGACCAGAAATCAAATTAAATCATTTAAAATAGCTACAGCTCGAATTTAAATCTCAAATTTTTTCAGCAGCAATATAAACTGGAGAACAACAACATATTCAAAAATTAGCAAAATCGGACAGGAACTCGATTTTATATGAATTTATTACGAAATAGTCTAGAATTAGTTTTCAAGTTTTGACAAGGCTACAGGCCATATAAAATTCTCAAATTTTAACCACAAGTACTACAATTGCAACATACAACATATTCAAAAATCATTATTTTTGGATAAACACACGATTTATAGTGATTTTAACAAAAAACCGGCTGCAACACGTTTTTCAAAAATTCATAACTAATTCAATACGCATCGAAACGACGCGAGGCCAAAGGCGTTGCGTCAAGGACGATCCTAAGTCCAATAATCCACAGCACTTCCACATAAAATAATACGCGAAACTCAGTTTGATTATTTTCAAAGTGACGGCAATCACTTTGATACCCAATATTAACAATACATCCTAATTACACACGAAAGCATTCCGAACGCACGTAATTAATTCGAATATCATTCGATCAGCAATGTAACACACATACGAGTACTAACACATAAACACGAACTAAATAATTAAGTCGAGGGGTTAACTCGGGTACCGTTCTCGGGACGGGGATACGAAGAACGAACAACGGACTAACAAACGAACTCGACGTCTCAACGTGTCTCGCCGGGACAAGAGGGCAGCGACCGAAGGGCTCCACGGAAGGCTGCTGGTCGCCGGAGTGGGTCGACAGGATTTACGGCTTGCTGCGTTTTGGAAGAAGGTGGCGACAATGGCGGCTCGGCGTTCGGAACTAGTCGACTTCGTTTAACGCTCCGACGGAACCCGACAGAACTCAACGATCACGATAGGCTCTTCGACGGAACTCGATGGGTCCCGAAAGCTGAGATTGAACGTTGACGGGAGGAGATTGTGGCCGCTGGTGTTCTTCGCGAAGACTGCTGCAAGCGATGATGGCGATGGTCTGCTGGTGAACGATGATGGCGATGACGGATGATGATGGTAATGGTTCGAAGATAGCGCCTGATGGAGGAGGGTTGATGATGGCGGCGAGAGAGAGCAGATTTCAATCGAGATGAAGATGGAAGAGAGGGGAAACTTCAGCGAGCGAGAAAGAAAGAAATAAGAGCCTGAGGGTAGGATTTTACGTTTTCAACGGTTAAGAAAATTAAGGATATAATAATAAGATTAATGAGGCACTAATTATTCCTTAATTGAGTAGTAATTCAAATAATCATAAAGAGAGATCGGTTATGGTGTTCATGCGGACCGGGATTAAACCTTGGTTCAATACTTACGATATTTCGGGCTCGATTCGATAACACGGTTCAATAAAATAAATAACGAACTTAATATATATATATAATACACATAATAATATTTATTAATAATACACATTTAAACACATTTTATCAATTAGGCAAATTATACAATTAAAATCAAAATCAATATAGTCAATTAGTAGTAATTTAGTATCTAT